AAGCAAGAAATCACCCCCCAGGGGGGGTGGCCATGCTGCAATCCCTTCTCCTCCATTCTCCTCTCGGGATCTTGGGCACACACGCACACGCGCCCGGCGTGAGTTTAAGCCACCAGGTCCGGGACTCGAACCACTGTTGACTACGTGGGAGTCCAGCGACATAGCCATTACACTAACTGCTGGTCCCAACAGCTCCAAGTTTTGTGTCCAACATGGCTACAACTCAAGGAGGAAGGGCAGTGGTAGAAACTGGGAACTTCTTCACACACTTCCCTCCTTTCATGAAGGAAAATACTTCCAAGAGGGTTCCTATGAACTTTCCCTTATAGCTAACTGGCCAAAGTTGGTCACATGTCAATGTTAGATACAGAGGAGGCTGGGCAAATAAAAGCTGGCTTTTCTTGGTTACAATATAGGCAGTGGGTAGAGACTAGGAATGACTGTGAGGTAGGAAAACCAGTAGTGTCCATCCAGAGACTTGTTTAGTGTGAGGATGAAAGGCGTTCATGCATGTACAATGCCAAACATGCTACCTGACATGAAATCTGTGGTAAAGAAACATCTTAATGGCATGATGAAAGCCTCTCTGTGTCTGTTTAACTGTATATATATATATCCATCTATCTATCATCATCTGTCTGTCCTTTCATCCCTCCATCCACTTAGCCACTCATTCAACCATTCATTTATCCATCCATCTACCCACCTACCCATTCATCCATCCATCCACTCATCCATTCATCCACTCATCTATCCATCCATTCATCCATCCATCTAGCCATCCACCCACTTACTCATCCACCCATTCATCCATTTATCTCTATTTTTGTTGTTGTTTTTGATGATGGACTGTTGCCAATGCCCTCCATTGATTTCTTTTGTTGGGTGAATTCTGTGTTAACTTTTTTGAAATAGAAGATAAAAATACCAAAGAAGACACCAATGCTTTCTAAAGAGGGTGAGTTTTTCACCTGTAGGGCTTGGTTTTGCTGAGTGAGCTATGCAATTTCAAGCCTAGAGCTGAATATCCCAGGAAAATAGAGAAGATTTTGGAGATGATATATGAGAAAAGATTAGGAGGGAGGGAGCTATATAAAGACTGGCAGTGTAAGGGTGCCTTTGAAGCAGAACAAAAATGTCTAGTGGATTTTTTTCATTAAATTCTTTAATGTGTGCAATGCAACATAAATCCCTTTTGTTTTGTCTCTTCATATTTTTAATCCACCATGTTTACTAATATTTTTAGATACATTTAAAATTTTAGGGATGAATAGAATCTAGCATGAGTCAAATCCAGAGATATCCATATCCATATAAAGACAACCATATATGGTGACCTAATTTTTTTAAAAAGGCACGGTTGTATTGTATTCTCTATTTACTTTGGTCCAGGAAGGTTTAGAAGGATTGCTTTCAGTTCTCAACTTTTTCCTCTGAAAGGAGGCAGTAAGTAACATGCTACTGTGTTTCATATATTTGCAGCTGGGAGGAGAATGTCTTTGTGTATGACCTTGTGAACAGTTGTGTTCCTGGTATCCCAGCTGACATCTGGACAGGCCTTCATGATCACAGACAGGTGAGGAAGCAAGGCCACCAAGCATCCTTAGAAGCTCCAACCAAGATTCCATTTTGATCTAACAAACCTTTCACATATGAGCAGGTCATGGCAATGCACCCAGTATAGGAAGAAATTGGACACCAAGATGTACAGTTAGAATATGATTCATGTTGGGGAACAGCAGATAGTATAATGATTACGTTGCTGGACTCCCACATAGTCGACGGTGGTTCAAGTCCCAGACCCAGCAACTTAAAACTCACGCCGGGCATATGTGCTTGTGTGCACAAAATCCCAAGAGGAGCCTGGAGGAAAAGGAACTACTGTAGTGTGGCCATCCCTCCTAGGGGTGATTTCTTGCTTTCTGTCTCTCTGTCTCTCCAGAGAGAGCATGTGTCCTCTAGCAAAAATTCCCCCCCCAAAAAAAAAGAAAGAAAGAAAGAAAATATGATTCATGCTGTGAGAGAGGATATGATGAGAACCTGTAATGTGGTCAGAGAAGGTCTCTTTCTTGGTTTGAGTTGTTTACAAAACAGGTGCCAGACATGATTAGATAGGTAGGAGGTTTTTGAAAGGAAAGCTTTGTGAAAGAAAAAAGAAGAGGGTATAAGACAGCAGAGATGGGGCCAGCAGGTGGTGTGCTCATTAAGGTGTTGGGTCCCACATGGCTGACTGTGGTTAAAGTCCTGGACTTGGTGGTTGGAAAATCACAATAAATAGACAGATAAATAAATAAATTGAAAGAAAACAGGGATGACCTCGGACGACAATGTGGGTCTGAGATCTGTGAAGATCTGCAAAGGGGGAGGAAGAACTGGGTAGGAAGAGTCTCAGATCACAGCACAGTTCTGATGAAGTCTTGTCAAGGCCAAAGGGAAGTCCCCAAGCAAAGAATGCCCATTACAGGAGTTCCACATTGTGCAGGAAGGGGCCAGCATTAGTGCCCCAAGCATGCTGAGCCACTGACTGGGAGAAGCATGGTCTCACTGTCAATGCAATGAGGGGTCTACAGCAGCAGAAGCATGTCCTCAGCACAAACAAGATGATGCTTCCAAAGAATCAAGAAGGCTGCAGCTGGTCCTCTGAGGGGATCTGAGCAGTGCATTTCCATAGCTACCCCAACCTGCCTGGGTAAGAGACATTTAACTAGTGTCTGGTGAATAGATAGGAGTCAGCCAGAGCTGGAGCATTCCAGGTAGAGGGAACAGCATGGGCCAGCGTCCTGAGGTAGGGGAGATCCTGGCACATTCAAGGAAGTTAAAGACCAGTATGAGACTGGCTCCATGGCCAGGTGGTTAGGGCAACTGGATCCCACATGATTAACTGCATGGTTCAAATCCCAGACTCTTTGGGTGGAGAAACGCTCTAGGTGTGTGCATGTGTGGGTGCCCAAATTCCGAAAACCGAGGAAATCACAGAGGAAACGGGATTGCAGAGTGACCATTCCCCATAAGAGATGCTTTCTCCTCTCTCTCTCTCTCTCTCTCTTTCTCTCTCTCTCTGATGAGTTAGCACACCCTCTAGCCAAAACAAATTAACAAAAACAAAAACAAAACAAAACAAACAAAAAAACAAAGACCAGTGTGGTTGAGATGCAGAGTGGGGCCAGGTGGGAAGAATAGTAGTGGCAAATGAGGCTGAAGAAGGTGGTTTGGATCAGTCCTCATGCCTGACAGTATCACCACAAACTCCAGCTGGGAGAGTCTGTCCCCAAACTTCCCCTGGACCAGCTGTGAACTGAGTCTCTATTTCAAATGCATGGTTCTTGCCCTGCCCCAGAGCATCACAGAGAACAGAACTCTAATTCCAGCTCCTGTTCTGCCACTCGCCAACTGGTACATGACTTTGGGCAATTTTTTAAAAAACTTCTCTGAGCCTCAGTTTCTCTGTCTGTAAAATGGGAGTGGTAATAATAATGCCTTGTAAAAAATAGCTGAGCTAATGTATGTAAAGGGCTTAGCATGGTGCTTGGCACACTAAAAGCTTGTTAAGGGGAGCCAGCAATGGCATGGTGGTTAAGGAACTGGATCCCACATAGCCAGCTGTGCAATTTGAGTCCTGCACCTGCTGGCTTGAGAGACACACTGAGCATCTGCGCATGTGTGCCCAAAATCCCAAGAGGAGAAGAGAAGAGAAGGGTTTGTGGCATGGCCATTCCCCAGGGAGGTGATGCCTCACCTTTCCTCTCTCACTGTCTCTCTCTCCAGCGAGTGCACACACCCTATGGCAAAAACCTAAAAGTAAACAAATAGATAAATAAGCTTGTAACAGCATGGTCAGATTCAGTGCAGATATTTTCTGAATCTATAGAATTCATTTGGCGAGGAACCATATAGAAGCTGTAATTTTTTAAAACACTGGATTTCCACTTAAAATAGAAACTTTAAAATTGGATTATAACTACATTAAGTCAGAGTTTAAGAAACTTGTATTTTAAGACCTAATAATAATAGTAACAAATAATACAGGAAAAGGGCTTTTTCCCTTTTCAGGACTAAGTGCCATGTGGTGGGCACTGTGCTAAGTCTTTCGCATGCTTTCATTTATTCAACCCTTGCACAATTCTCTGAAGGAGATATTAACGCCACTGTATAGGCTGGAAACTGAGGCTTGGGAAGGTTAAGTCATTTATCCAGACTGCAGAGCTAGAAAGTGGGTGAAGATGGGATTTTAAGCTCAGCGATCTCTCTCTTTCTCTCTCTCTCTCTCTCTCTCTCTCTCTGAAGTAGCATAGCACACTATTCCCATTATATAGTATAGGCTCCATAATCTTCAGTACTTTGGGGGATACTTCTCTAAAAACTGGAATAAATGGAGACATGACTCTTGTTCTTGGATATTGCAAAGATCTAGTTCTCCAAGTTAATTTGCACATTCATTACAACACCAATCAAATTACCAACAGGGTTTTTCTTGAAATTAGACAGAGTAGTTTCACATCAGGCTCTCCAAGTTAATTTGCACATTCATTACAACACCAATCAAATTACCAACAGGGTTTTTCTTGAAATTAGAGTAGTTTTACATCAGGCAAGGCAAACACTGACTATTTGGACAAAAATGAAAATGAGGAAAAGAGAGAGAGAGAGATGAAGAATGATTCCCATCCATTAGTGAATTATAGTACTTAAGGTTTGGGATATTGAAGTTGAGTAGGCCGGAGTTTGAATCCCAGCACTGTTTATTAGCTGCGTGCATTTGTGCAGGCCAATCTGTGTCCCAGTTTTCCCATCTGTAAAATGGAGATGATGATGCCTGCTTTGTAGGATGGTGAGGATGAAATGAGTAAATCAGGGACCAGTAGATGGCATAATGGTTACCGCTGGACTCCCACATGTTGAGTCCCGGACTCAACAGCTTCAAGCTCACACTGGGTGTGTGTGCATGCATGCCCAAAATCCCAAGAGGAGAATGGAGGAGAAGGGATTGTGGTGCGGCCACCCTCGGTGGGAGTTGATTTCTCACTGTTTATCTGTCTCTCTTTCTCTCTCTCCAGCAAGTGCACGTGCCCTATAGCAAAATTCTCTCTAAGGAAAAAAAAAAGAAAGAAATGAGTAAAGCACATGGTGTGGCAATAATCAGCACTCAACAATGGCAGTTAGTATTACTATTAGCAGTAGTAATAGCAGTAGCATCAGGTTAACAGCAGCATTATCTGTGAGGACTTCTGTGCAGAGATGCTAGCTACGGAGGTGCTAGAATGCTCCCTGAGCTTAAGCTGGCTCAAATGCCTGATCTTTCTCCTCTTGGCTTCCTCCTTGCCTCTGGATGGAACCCCCAGGAAGGGCAGTTTGAATGGACTGATGGTTCATCCTATGACTACAGCTACTGGGACAGGAACCAGCCAGATGACGGTGTCCATGCGGACCCAGAAGAGGAGGACTGCGTGCAGCTGTGGTATCGGCCCACTAGCGGTGGGTACCTCTGAACCAGGGCTCTTGCAGGGATGTCGGGGGACTTGAGGGACCACAGGTGACAGAACACTGTTGTTCAGCACCTTGGAGAGCGACCAGCAGTCTCGGAGTGATTGGGGCATGGCCATGCTTCAGTGGATATGTCATTTTAAACCATATTTAATGGTGTGTTGTTGACATACAAACTCTGATTTGGATGAAAAAAAAAAACATTAGTGACAGGCGTATGGCAGGGGGAGTGCAGAAAGTAGCCAACGTCTGATGCTTCTGTGTGGGCTCATCATGTGCCAAAGTGCAAGCCCCATCCTAAGCTCCTGCTCCTGACCATTTGAATAAGGCAATGCCTGGGCTACTATGGAGGCATAGGTAGTCAAAGAGTGTAGACCTGGAGTTTTTTCTGTCCTGTTACTTTTCACCTTTGCGTCCTTGCAAGGAATTATTTGCCCTCTCTGAGATTCTAAGTCCTCTTCCATAAAATGGGCCTAATAATGTTTCCCACCTAAAGAACCATTAAGAAAATTAAAGGCTGTACAGCACAAGTATAGCACCATGGCAAGAACAAGGACTTAAGGTGACCACCCTTGTCTGAACCCTAGCTCCATCCCTCTTTTGCTTCCTTTCCTTTTTCTAATTAGGAGTTGGAGGTATGGAACAGCTAATCATGGCAGCCACCCTGGAGCCTGGTAGCCAGAGTTGGGCCAAGCCTGTGGGTGAAGTTTGTCCTCTCATCCATGGTGATAACTGAAGACCAGCCTTATGAGATGCTGGACTGCAAGCTTGTTGAGCATCAATAAGATGCTTGATGGTCATTATCTACCAGTGTAGACAGGAAGCTACTAGAGAGGGCTTTTACCCCAGTGGAGTGGTGGGCTTGCTTTTATTATGAATATATTGTCACTCAAACTCTCTGCTTCCTTTCACCACAGCGCTGAGGTCATGGAATGATAACACCTGCAGCTGGAAGTTCCCCTTTGTCTGCAAGATTCCATCTCCGACCATTCATTGATCCAGCCTTGCCCTCCTGGAGTGAGCTTATCTTGTAGCTGTACTTACTGTAGAGTTGACACTGAGTAAATGTCAAACACACCAAAGATAAATCTCTCATCCAGGGATTCTAAACAAGCACATCTCAATTATCCAGGGTGGTCACTTGCCTAAATGACAGGAAACCCAACTCGAACTGGTTGACGATAAAGCATGGTAGAGTTTTTGACTTAAATAACAAAAATCCAGGAATTGTTCTGGATTCACAGTTGAACGTTAATGGCCTGGCTCAGGTCACGTTCTCATTCCTGCAGCAATTTTTTTGGCTGGTGCTGATTGGCTAGGCTCTGCTTAGATGCATGCCAAGGAGGCAGAATGGGCTGGGAGAGAGAAGGGGTGGGGGGCAGAATAGACTGGGAGTCAACATTCTCTGAAGGTGCAGAGGGTGAGGAAAATGGAGCATGTTGGTCAAAGGGCACACACTTTCAACGATATGATAACTAAGGTCTCAATGGATAATGTACTATAGTTAATAATAATATGCTGTGCACTTGAAAGTTGCTAAGCAAGTAGATCTCATATGTTTTTACCCAAAACAAACAAAATCAAAATGTAACTATGTGAGGTGATATATAGGTTAATTAGCATGAATGTGGTAATTATTTCATAATGTATACACACATCAAACAACACATACGTTTTAAATATATACAGTATTGGGACCAGCAGATGATGTAATGGTTACCTCACTGTACTCCCACATAGTTTACCAGGGTTCAAGTCCCAGAACCAGTGGCTTGAACCTCACATGGGCACGTGTGCATGTGTGCCCAAAATCCTGAGAGGAGACTAGAGGAGAAGGGATTGTGGTGTGGCCATTCCCTCTGGGGGTGATTTCTTGCTGCTCTCTCTCTGTCTCTCAGGCGAGCACATATGCCCTATAGCAAAAATCTCTCAAGATATATATATATACAGTGTTTGTCTATCTTGCCTCAATAAAGTAAATAAATAAATAAAATTACTATATACATATTTGTATGCATGTATATGGACAAATCCACACACCCCTCTTCTATCCATGGGTTCTTCATCCGTGTATTCCACCAACCATGGACCAAAAATATATTTTAATAGATATAACAACAATTAAATAACAGCAATAGAAAATATGTATATACAAATGAAAATCTGGTATAAAAGATTGAAAATGGCCCACCATGTAGGCACGTACCATGAAGGACTGGACATTGTTTGGCTGAGTCAGTGAGTGAGTAGAGAGTGAATGTGAGGCCCTGGATATCATGGTCCACTACTGGAGACTTTATATAAACAATGAATGCTTAGGTTTATTTTTAAATGTTTTTCTTCCATAATAAATTAGGTTACTGTTACGTTTTTTACTTACCAAACTTTTTTATTTTTTTAGAACTTTTTTGTTTCTTTTGTAAAAAAAAAAAAAAAAAACTAGCTCGAAACACAAACACAGGGGCCAGCAGGTGACATGGTGGTTAAGGCACTGGACTCCTGCATGGCTGACTACAGTTTGAGTCCTGGATCTGGAGGCTTGCTTCTCACGTTCTCTCTCTCTCTTTTTCTCACTCTAATCCTTCTCATTATCACTCTGGTAAACACACATGCCCTATAGCAAAATTTTAAAATAATAATAATAAAGAAAATTAAATAAATAACTCTTTAAAAAAGCACATTGTATAGCTGTATAAAAATATTTCCTTTCTTTATATCTTTTTTCTTATAAGCCTTTTTCTGTCTTTAATTTTTCTAATTTTCTTTTACTTTTAAGCTTTCCTATTAAAAATGAAGACACAAGCATGCACACCAGACTAAGCCTTCGCAGGGCTAGATTCAACAGTATCACTTTTTCCACCCCCACATCTTGTCCCTCTAGAGGATTAAATCCAGTACAAGAGAAATAATGCAATCAAGAGACGATCATTATAAAATGTCTGAGGTTGCTGCTGGCATAACACGGCATAGTTTTGCAGCAAACTTTTTTATAATTAAGAAGAGTCTGCCTTAAAATAATGCTAAAATGTGGGGCCCAGGTGGCATGCTGATTAGGGCACTCGACTCCCACATTGCCAACCGTGGTTCAAGTCGCAGACCTGACGACTAAATTTCTCACTCTCTCTTTCTCTTTCTCTCCGTCTCTCTCTGGTGAATGCATGTGTCTTGTAGAAAATTTAAAAATAATAATAACTTAAATAAAGAATTCTTTAAAATAAACAAAAATTGCTAAAATGTATAATAAACACATAAACTAGTAACCCACTCATTTATTATCAGCATCAAGCATTATGTACGGCACATAACTGTATATGCTGTATTTCCTACACCTGACAGCGCGGGGGCTTCTTCTACCCCAACACCACCATGTGAGTCTTACATGGAGCTATGACCTACAAAGACTACAACCTCACCAGGCAATAGGAAGTTTTCAACTCCATTATAATCCCATGGAACGACCATCACAGATAGACTGAAATGTCAGTGTCATTATGGGATACGTGACTGTTTGTATGTGGGTATGTGCCTGTTAGTTCTCCAAAGGAAAACAAAAATATCACCAAACTCATACATTGTTGATGGGAATGTAAAACAGTGGAGTTACTGTGGAAAACAGTTTGGCCCTTCCTCAGAAGATTAAAAATAGAATCTCCATATGACCCAGCAATTTCTGTCCCAGAGAATGGAAAATGGGCATTTTAACATGAATGGTCATAGCAGCATTGTTTGTAATACCCCAAATTGGAAACACCCCAACTATCCATCAACAGATGACTGAATAAGCAAAAGGTAGTACACCATGCAATGGGACATCCACTATTCAGATATAAAAAGGGATGAAATCATGCCGTATACTAGACCTGAATGAACCTTGAAAACAATGCTGTCAGTTACCAAAGACCACACTTTGTTTGATTCAAAATATTTAAGATGTCCCAAACAGGCAAATCTATAGAGAAAGTAGCTTAATGATTGCCAGGAGCTGGGCAGAGGGGAACGTGGGAAATGAGTTATAGTAGGAGTGGAGTTTCTTTCGGACTGATGAAAATGTTCTGCAGCTAGTGGCGGTGATGGCTGGAAATCACTGCGCATGTACTAGAAATGTCTGAATTTTTAAATGGTGAAAATGATGAATTTCACATGATAAGAACGTTTTACCTCCATTTTTTTTTTTCAATGTTGGGGTTGAACAGAAGTGCAGTGGTGATACAATGTTGGGCATGGCTGACCCACACAGGAGGGATCCAGATTTGTGTCTGAAGACCTCTGGGAATATGCTGGAAATGCACGTGCCCGTGATCCAGGGCTGGCTGGAGCCTGGGGTGGATCACAGTGCAAAGACCCTGTTGAAGGCACCCTTCCTTCAACCCACCTTTCTACTCATGAAAGAAAGAAACAAAATATTACCAGAAGAAAAACTCCATGTCAGGCAGGAAGAAACAATAGTTATTTATCCATAGAGAGAGCACTGGGCAGGGAGACAGGGACCTGCATTCTATTTCTGCTTCTCTGAGCCTGTTTCTGCACTGGGATGGACTGGGAAGGGAAAGAAAAACTAAAATCTTGACCCTTGGGTACCACTGAGTAGCCAGAATGTGAATAAAACATGCAAAAATCACATCCATTGACATGTGGTAAATTATGCTCAGATGTTGCAAGAATATCCTGTTGAAAGCGATGTTAAAATGAGACTTCCCTATTGCTTCAGAATTGGTCCTGGGGCCTAGAGTTGAAAACAACGGGTACTAATTACCCGTCATTCTAAAGAGAGCGGTGAACAAATGGGCCAGTCACTCTCCCTCAGAGCTTTCATACAATGGTTTGCAGAACAGACCTCGCCACAATAAACCACATAAGTGCTAGGACACAAAAACTAGGGCCCCTTGGCCTCGTGGGGAACATAGTGTCCACAGTTAAAGGGTTTTCACTTTCCCTCCCTAGGTGACCACCTCAATGTCCAGTGAGCAGAGCTCCAAGAAATTGCTTGTAGAGTTGTAGAGATTAGGGTAAAAAAGGGAGTCTGGCCTCTCACTCCCCAGCAGGACGTTGGCTGTGTTGTCCAAACTGCTGTTTTCTGGTTCTCCACTAGAGAGAACCGCGTCAGAGACTTCTCAAGGATGCGAATGCATTTATCCCTGAAACTTTGGGGGTCTGGGAGGAGAAAACTTTTTATTTATCCTCCTATATCTTTGCTGGGATCCTGTGAATTAAACTGACAAGCAGAGTAATGGGATAAAAGGCATAAGAATTTTATTAATGTGCTTTCATGCACAAGGACTTCTCAGAAAAGAAGTGAAAACCCCAAGAGGCAGCTAGACCTGAAGGCTCAAAGACCTTCTTAACCAAAGTTTTTTTTTTTCAATGTTGGGGTTGAACAGAAGTGCAGTGGTGATACAATGTTGGGCATGGCTGACCCACACAGGAGGGATCCAGATTTGTGTCTGAAGACCTCTGGGAATATGCTGGAAATGCACGTGCCCGTGATCCAGGGCTGGCTGGAGCCTGGGGTGGATCACAGTGCAAAGACCCTGTTGAAGGCCCCCTTCCTTCAGCCCACCTTTCTACTCATGAAAGAAAGAAACAAAATATTACCAGAAGAAAAACTCCATGTCAGGCAGGAAGAAACAATAGTTATTTATCCATAGAGAGAGCACTGGGCAGGGAGACAGGGACCTGCATTCTATTTCTGCTTCTCTGAGCCTGTTTCTGCACTGGGATGGACTGGGAAGGGAAAGAAAAACTAAAATCTTGACCCTTGGGTACCACTGAGTAGCCAGAATGTGAATAAAACATGCAAAAATCACATCCATTGACATGTGGTAAATTATGCTCAGATGTTGCAAGAATATCCTGTTGAAAGCGATGTTAAAATGAGACTTCCCTATTGCTTCAGAATTGGTCCTGGGGCCTAGAGTTGAAAACAACGGGTACTAATTACCCGTCATTCTAAAGAGAGCGGTGAACAAATGGGCCAGTCACTCTCCCTCAGAGCTTTCATACAATGGTTTGCAGAACAGACCTCGCCACAATAAACCACATAAGTGCTAGGACACAAAAACTAGGGCCCCTTGGCCTCGTGGGGAACATAGTGTCCACAGTTAAAGGGTTTTCACTTTCCCTCCCTAGGTGACCACCTCAATGTCCAGTGAGCAGAGCTCCAAGAAATTGCTTGTAGAGTTGTAGAGATTAGGGTAAAAAAGGGAGTCTGGCCTCTCACTCCCCAGCAGGACGTTGGCTGTGTTGTCCAAACTGCTGTTTTCTGGTTCTCCACTAGAGAGAACCGAGTCAGAGACTTCTCAAGGATGCGAATGCATTTATCCCTGAAACTTTGGGGGTCTGGGAGGAGAAAACTTTTTATTTATCCTCCTATATCTTTGCTGGGATCCTGTGAATTAAACTGACAAGCAGAGTAATGGGATAAAAGGCATAAGAATTTTATTAATGTGCTTTCATGCACAAGGACTTCTCAGAAAAGAAGTGAAAACCCCAAGAGGCAGCTAGACCTGAAGGCTCAAAGACCTTCTTAACCAAAGATTATAAACTGTGGAGAAGTAAAAAGACAAAGAAAAGGGGGGACATTGGGACCAGCAGATGGTGTAATGGCTCTGTCACTGGACTCCCATGTAGTCAACTGTGGTTCAAGTCCCACACCTGGTGGCTGAAACTCACACTGGGTGTGTGTGGGTGTGTGTGTGCCCGCC